AAAAAAAAAAAAAAACTGGATTAAACAAATCTTTCCTCTAATTTGACAGTCTCCAAACCATTAAGCAGGACAGGCATATTTATTCTACCATCCTCCCAATTATATACACACGCCCAGGATGTAGTGCTTAATGCCAAGTTTATTTAATGCCAGTTACAGACTCAGCTCCTCCCCCCCAAAATGGATAGGGGTACAGAGGCCATATTTATTGAGCAGCCAGCTTTTAACATACTTAAGGCTGTAGGAGCTGGGAGGGAGCCAATACTTCTAGGCTCAGTCACTGGATTCGCCCAGGGTGAGACGGTCAAAGAGGTATTCCCCAAGGCCTTCCTCCTGGGCGCACACACGCTTCAAGTTGGTCACATGGTCTCCCAGCTTCTTGATCACCTTCACCTCCTCATCCAAATAGTGAGTCTCCAAGAAGTCACAAAGCTTAGGAAAAAGAAAAAGTTTTAATTCAATGATTCCATAGAAAAGCCTACCTATATTAAATAGGTAGTCCAAGGATTTGAAGGATTAATGCCTGTCAATCATCCCATCAATCAGGAACTGGAAGGAACCTCAAAATCAGCTGGTCCTATCACCTACCAATGCAAGAAATCCACTGCATTTTTGATAGATGGCCAGCTGGCATCAGCTTACACTTGTTTTACACTACACGGGAATGCAGAAAACTGATACTGCATGCAAAAAGCTAAACAATCGTAACACCATTAAGAGCTGAAAGCAGATTTTGGGCCCTTCAAAGAGAATGGTGCACCAATATCTGTCAGCCACAATTCAGTCTCCAGCCACCATGGCTGGATGGTTTGGGGTGGATTAAGTGGGGAACTCATGATGTTCAAATATTGCTTAGCCAATGAGGAATACTGCAGCTGGAGACTTGCAGGTTCTCCATACTTGGTTCCCTAACTCTAACCCTGTGTAAATATGCTGAAACTATGCTTGCCAAGTGTAATTAAAAAACATTTCAGGATGCCTTGGTGGGCATTAATAGCAAATTGGTACTGAACCTAACCCTGCAAACTTTCTCCTGTTAGCTTACATGGGGATCTGTATGGCGTGAAGCAACTTGATGCAAATCCAGCAGGGCCTGGTTCAGGGTCTTCTCCAGCTTCAGGGCAGCTTCCATGGCAATAATTCCATTCTTCCATTCATCTTGCTCTGGTTTCTGGAGGATCAGAAAGAGATAATCATGTCTCAGTAGCACTACTGTTGTTCATAAGTCCTCTACCAGCCAACCACCATTTTCGTTAAGCCTCTGCCTGCTTACAACATTCTTCCCCATTTTCACCTTGACATCCTGCAGGACAACTCTTCCCCCACGGCGGTTCTGGAAAGTCAAGAGTTTCTCAGCTTGTTCATGCTTCTCCTCGGACAGGTGGCGGAAGAAGGAGGAGAACTTGGACAGTGCCACATCATCCCGGGTGTAGTAAAAACCCTGGACAGAAGGAAGGAAGGAATGAAGGGTGAAGTTTTGAATTGGCATAGTTGGGAAACAAGAGTTGCCCCCTCACCCCACCCCAAGTCTCTATCTGTAGGGTTATCATTCATGGTCACAATTGTTTACCTAGACAAAAAGAGCCAGGTTCCCTTTAATTTAATTCACACATTGTGCTAAGTTATAATATGGTTTGTTTAGGCTTGGTTTTATTGTGTAAATTTGCTCATTATGATTTATAAATCACAGTTCATGGCTTTTAGCATGCTAGAATACGAGGCTTTGCTGGTGGTTCCAATTCAGCATGCATCTCACACTATGGGTCGGAATCAGCAGTATAATTGTGGTTTGACAAAACCCCAAAATAATAGAAGTGTAATTAACCTGCAAAGCCAAAACCCTTTGATTTGAAATACAACACAGAACCATATTTTGCAATTGTAACTTGTTTCTTTTTGGGGAGGGGGATTACACCATCTAGAGTCACAAATTATACATGCTTTTAAAAAAAATACATAAAAGTTACACTGCAGCCAATCCACAGTGATGGCTTGTGGCTCTGCCCACCCCAAACCATCCCGAGAAGGCCAAAAGCTAAAGCAAGTAAACAAACAGCTCTATATCATGGCTTGAATTCCAGATTCAATGTAATTCATGTCCAAATCTGCAGTTTGATGCAATGCATAACTGAGCAGTTGCCTGTATATGATTTTTAGGAGTCACATTAGCAAGAAAATTATGAGTATTTTTCTGGAAAATCCCTAATCAGCAGTGACATGGGTTAATGAGCCATATGTAAGAACTACCTGTCTCAACCCTGACCAGCAGCATTCCTAACCTAAGCCCTTTGAAAGTCTTTTCTAGGCCTCTCCATATTCAAAAACCACCTCCCAGGCTGCTATCTACTATATGGGGAGACTGCAATTGTTAGTTAAAAATGACAGGCTTATGGGTATCCAGAAACAAGGGTTTGTTCAGGCCTACAAGCCACTTATTTGCTTCTAATAGGTCAAAAGTTTAGTTATCAATAACCAAAATATTGTTTTAATGGCTTAATACATTGTGTGAACCTAGCCACTGTGATTTATAAACTATAGTTTATGGCTTATATTGTGTTAATTCTATTGTGTCATACCCAACAAACCATGGATAAACCTTGGCCATAATGCCCATTGCCCTTTCCTCAGCCTATCAGTCCAGCCTTTGCTTCCAGCTTATCTACTGATAAAGGAGCTTGACATCATTAAATCATTAACTCTACCTCATTTATCCCTTCAGAATCATTCTAGAGGATGCTACGATAGGTAAACATGAAGCAGAGGACTTTGCTATCAAAACAAAAGTTGCGTAAGATTCCTTGGGTGCCAAAACCAACAAGACTGCAAGGACAGACAATAGGTATGTTATTTACAGGGCAAAAATGGTGATATGCCAGGGCACGTTTCCTAATCTGATACCTCCTGGTAGTGGGATACAATTCCCATCATTCCCAGCCAGAACAGCCCAAGTAAGTTGAACAAGCTCTTCATACTAACTCGACAGAGAGCTGCATAGTATAAACATGAAGGCAGTGTGAGAATTTGAAGCAAACAAAGCACATCCTCAGGGCACATGTATAGAGCATTAAAAAAAGAAAGATCGATCGATCAATCTATCTAATGGGGTTATCAAGAATCTCAAGGAAGGAGCTGCTTACAGGATAAAACCAGAGACACGGAAAGGCTCACATGAAGGACACACTGATTCAGCTAGCAGAATCATCATACTACCAGGATCAAAAGCAGAAGACAAAGGAAGGAGTCTACAGCAGTTACTACAGCTCCATGAGATGATGGGGGAGATGGGACCTGAAGTCCAACACATCTGGAGGATGCAGGGTGGGGAAGGCTAGATTTATGGCTAAATAAGCTAGCCCATGAAGAATGCTTTTCTCTTTCTCCTATTATGCCAAGCCAACAGAAGAGCAGAGCTTGCTGTAAAACTATGCTTGGGTCTCCATGGTTACTGCAGGGAAAGAAAGAGAAGCAGAGGATGAATTTTCTGGAGGAGGAAAGGAAGAGGCCTACCTAAAACCAGAGCCTGTGGGGAGGGGAGGTTGTTTTTCTTGCGCAGTTTATAAACAGAGGAAGCCAGACTCGTCGGGTTTAGGGAAAGGAGTCGCTGGGTGGTGCCACAGCACACAATAGCACAATACGCCACACCCGAGTGTGACACCATCCTGGACTTCTGGAAAGGGCAGTAGTTTTTACCGTTTACTTACAACAAAGCAACCAGGCCGCTCCAACAACGTGAATGTTCATACCCACCATTTACATGGAGAGAAAAATGCTTCCATTCTGACCCTGTGCACGCGCGCGCGCACACACAAAGAGACTGGCTTTTGGGGGGGGGGGCGGGAGGGAAAAAAAGCAACTTTGCCCAACCTGATGCTCTCCAGAGGTTACCGAGCTGCAACTCCCATCATCTGTAGCAAGTGCGGCTACGGATGATGGGGGTTGTACTCCAACATCAATACAGGACACCCGGCTGGGCAACGCCAGGGAAACGTTAGAGGAGGGGGCGACGAGGGCGATTTTCGCCTTCGGATACTCACCAAGGACAGGTAGGTGTAACTGGCCTGAAGGAACTGGTTGACCAAGCGATTCACGCCTGCTTCGCTTTCGGCGTGGTAGTTCTGGCGGATCTGAGAGCTCATGGTGCAAGTCGAGGTTGGTTGGACTGGCTGGCAAAAGGACTTAAGGATGGGATGGCCGCGACCCTGCTCCGTTCAAGCACTGTTGAAGCAAGAGCGAAGGAACGAAAGCCAAAAGCGAGGTCCGGACTGTGCGCGGCGAGCCCGGAGGGAGGCTTTTATAGGCAGCCGGAGGCTCTTCCGAAACCCTCCCTCCGCGCAGGGTGCAAACGTGAGGCTCCGCCCCCCGGGCTCGCGAGGAGGGGGCTGCTGGGCGGCCGGGCGCCGGGTGGGTTTGCGCGAACTCGGGCCCCAAGTCGTGGTTCCGAGAGGGGCCTGGGCTTCCCTGAACGCGATGAGCAAATGACTACGGTAGTGGCATTAATTAGGG